GATACAATCCTGATCCATAATTTAAATATAAAACACAGGGGTGATATTTAATGTCATAATGCATCAATATTTATTAATAATTACATTTAATTATAAACTATAGAAATTCTTCGTTATAACTGAAAAAAAATTCGTTATAAAAAAAATCCGTTATATTGAGAGGCATTTTTATATAAGAAATTCACACACTTTACTTCGTACTACGTTATACGGTAAATAATAGTAAACTTCGTTATATCAAGGTTTTTTTCATATTTAAAATCGGTACCACACTGTATGATCCGTTATATCGTGTTATTCGCTATATCGAGGTTCGCTGTAGAGAGGGGTGACTGTAATGATATTCGTTCTAACCTATTAGACTATGCTAAGCATTTATCCAATATGTCTTCCTTTATACAACGTATATTCAAAGGTCTTTTAATGGATGATTTATTTATGAGAAAAATTGAAATTCCAACGTCATCTTTTAATACTGAAATTAATCAGCAAAATCAAAAAATTTTTCTTTTTCAAGTAGAACGTCAGCAGCTATTTAATTTGTTGATCTATAATAATGAAATTATTTCCTTGTTGGAAAGATAGAAGAATGATATTAAAAACATTATTTTAAAATCAATGCCTAAATGAAAGAGAAATCTTTGGACAACTACGTGGATTTCTCACCTGGAAACTTGCTTGAATAATTATCTCTGTTCTGGAATTTGGTTTCAGCAGTTCCAGGAGATCATAATTCCTCATTCTCAAAGTTCACTCATGACAAAAAGACTAGTTGCTTATTTTCTTATTAATAGAGTTTTAGAAGAAACGATTAGAGGGGATCATTGTGAAAACAAAAGTATACAAGAGCAAGCAGATCCTACCTTGATTCCTAAAACTATTATTACCTTGAATCAGGTAGAAGCTTCTAAATTTTCTTATATCGTCAGTTGGGTGCTCTTTAAGTTGATTAAAAGAGATTATTTAATGAATTCACATCCAAAATTTTCAGTTATGTGCATTTTACTTAGATCTCTCTGCACTGAAAAAGTTGAGTATGTGTTAGAAATAAAATCACAAACTACTATCATCATACCCAGATCTGAATTTATTCAGTTTATGTATCGTTTAGAATCTCTGGTGATCAAATTATTTGAAAAACATAATGAATTAGGACCAAATATTTTGCGTTATGTGGAAAACAGTCTTCTAACTAACCTACATTTGAATCAAACGTTTATTCAAATTTTGAAATCTTCAAATGGAGAAAATAATTCTGAATTAGAAAATGAGGACTGCAAATTTATTTATGAAAGATGTGTTTTAATCTATATGAAGAGCCGTCAAAAAACTTGGAGGAGTGTTAATAACTATATTCCGGAAAAAGGAACAGCAAGTTTACGAGAAAGTCTAAAAGTGATGAATCATAATCATCCTACTACAGCTTTAAATGAAAATAAAAACCCTACGATTATAAAGAAAGTGAACTTGCCGACCAACCCTATTCATGCTCTGGAACAACTCCGTATATGGGCACAGCTTGAGGGAGCAGAGGAATCATTTGCAAAAATGTTCACAGTATCGGAATTATTGTAGTTGGTTCGGACATTTGGAGTATCAACAGCTTATAAAAGAAAACAAAAATTGGTACCTATCGTCATATCTAACTTAAAAAACAAGACACTTTTCATTGAAGAAGCGCTTGAAAAAAATGCTATTTTTATGGAGTAAAACATCTGTTACTTTATAAATTTGTAGTTTCTAAACAGATGATGTAATAAGTATATAAAAATTATATAAAATTAATAAAATGTGATATTTTTCAAAGAAGCTATTCATTAAACTTAATTAGAAAGCTAGCTCAGAAAGCCAATATTACACTAAAAGCCACGAAACTTTTACAGTATATAGTTCTCACTTGCAGTAATTAACTGTTAGACATCGGCTCTTTGAAAACTCTAAACATAAAAAATTTTGAACTTCGATATAAATTTATGATATAATAATAAATGCGATTAGCGTAACCTTAAATGGACAGTTGCGTTAACCTAAAATCATATTGTGTAACATTCAGTTGGATCCCCCTTCACCCCTTGGTGGTACTTTGCAGATTTGTNACATTCTAAACCAAATATTTTTTTTTTAATAAAATGGCCTGTTGTTAAAAAAATATAACAGTAAAGGCCAAAAAAAAATTTTTATTGAATAAAACGGTTTGTTACAGACCAAAAAAAAATTATTTTATTTTTTTCTTTTAATAAAACGGTCTGTTAAAAGTCAAAAAATTAAAAAAAAAATTATCTATTATCAATCAGATTAGCCGTCAATTACGTATTTTCAAAAATTTATGTATTATACTATGTGTAATGCTGCTTATTAGGGAATTCTAAGGCATTATGCTGCTAATTAGTAGAAAATCGCTGGAATTCTAAGGCGTTATGCTGCTAATTAGTAGAAACTCGCCAGAATTCCAAGGCGTTATGCTGCTAATTAGTAGAAAATCGCCAGAATTCCAAGGCGTTATGCTGCTAATTAATAGAAAATCGCTGGAATTTCAAGGCGTTATGCTGCTAATTAGTAGAAGACTGCTGAAATTATATATACAGTCCCCTCCCAAAAGTATCCGCCCAATAAAAAAAATATTTTTTTATTTATTATTTATTTAATATTTAATACTTTGTAGGCCATCCTTGGCTTTCGATACATGCATTAATTCGTTTAGGCATACTTTCAATTAAATTAATATAAACTTCAGATGGAATTCTCCTCCACTCTTCTTGTAAAGCCATTTCAAGTTCTCTAAGATCTGTCTCTTATACACATCTAGATGTGTATAAGAGACAGCAATAGGTTCTGGCGTTTTTATATAAAATAAATTAAAAGAAAATGCCGGAACCCATAGTTCCGGCATTTTTACATAAAAAAAATTTAAAAGAAAATGCCAGAACCTATAGTTCCGGCATTTTTACATAAAAAAAATTTAAAAGAAAATGCCAGAACCTATAGTTCCAGCATTTTTATATAAAATAAATTAAAAGAAAACGCCAGAACCTATAGTTCCAGCGTTTTTATATAAAATAAATTAAAAGAAAATGCCGGAACCTATAGTTCTGGCGTTTTTATATAAAATAATTAAAAGAAAACGCTAGAACTCATAGTTCCAGCGTTTTTATTAAAAAAAAATAAAAAATATGCCAGAAGCCAGCATTTTTGTATAAAAAAACTATTAGTTCTGGTATTTTTTGTATATAAAAAAATGCCAAAACTGAATTGCGGAATTGCGGGCTACTAACCGCAATTCAACTTCAAAATCCACAATATTGCAGAATTTGAAAATCATTTGCGGACCCATCCTTACCACTCAGTCATGTCATCAAACCCTCCGTAATTAAGCTTTCTTCCGCTGATGTTAGCTATTTTATAGCATCGATGGCAGCCAACTAATGCTGAAATATGACCGCATAATTTTCTAGCAGCCGGTATATCATTGCTGCAGCAAATTACCGCCATTCGGATTCTTTTACCAGTTGGATGTAAATCGGTAGAAGGTAAATCAACACCATCCCAGAATTCTAACAATTCGTCAACAATTGGACTAAGATAATGATTTATCTTGTGTAATTTTACCTCTTCTGGTCCTGGTAGAAATCCAAGATATAGCATGTTTTCTCGTTTAAATCTAATATCACGGGGAAGATTACATATGACTCCATAGATAGGATCCCAAAAAATACATATAAAAGTTAGAGATGATTGGCAAAATTTTGCCTTAAAATAAGCAAATGTTTTTACTAAGATCAATACGCAAAGTTGACTTCTGACTTTATAATTTATATTAGAATAAGCAAATTTTTTTTATGACATTTGTATATTAAAAAAATGAAATTATGGCTTTTTTTTTAATTTAATTAGTTGTATTTAGAATATACTTCCAGTATAATTGATTTTCAATTGCTAGCATAATGCCAAATTGCATAAATTAATTTGTACTGACATATTTATTTATACTACTATATTTAATTATTTGATAATTCAAGTATTAACACTAAAACAAAAAGATTGTTCATTATTTTTTTATAAATTATAACAAAAACTTAGAATATTGATAACATTTTAAAGTTAAAGAAAAGTCAATATAATTTATAAAATCATTTCTAAAAGAAAATCTTATTTCTAAAGAAAAAAAATATTAATACTACTTTCACATATAAAACAAAAAAAATTCCACCCTATTCTCAACTTACTAAAAATTTCAGTTTAGTTTTAATCTAAAAACCATTTCTAATAGAAAAAACTAATAATACTTCTAAAATAAATAAAATAAAGCTAAAAAATTCTTTATTTACAGTGAGCATTGGAGTTCCAATCTGAATTCCAAGTTCCTAAGAAAAAAGTAAAAGGAATATTAGTATGGTAATATTCCCAAAAAAATTGACTATTCTTTTCTCTTAACTCATATTTTTCCAAGATATTGGTATCTAAAATAATAAATTTTAGATTTAAGAAGTTGCTTTTAAAGAAAAATAATAAAAAGGAATATTAATAACATTCTAAACCAAATATTTTTTTTTTAATAAAATGGCCTGTTGTTAAAAAAATATAACAGTAAAGGCCAAAAAAAAATTTTTATTGAATAAAACGGTTTGTTACAGACCAAAAAAAAATTATTTTATTTTTTTCTTTTAATAAAACGGTCTGTTAAAAGTCAAAAAATTAAAAAAAAAATTATCTATTATCAATCAGATTAGCCGTCAATTACGTATTTTCAAAAATTTATGTATTATACTATGTGTAATGCTGCTTATTAGGGAATTCTAAGGCATTATGCTGCTAATTAGTAGAAAATCGCTGGAATTCTAAGGCGTTATGCTGCTAATTAGTAGAAACTCGCCAGAATTCCAAGGCGTTATGCTGCTAATTAGTAGAAAATCGCCAGAATTCCAAGGCGTTATGCTGCTAATTAATAGAAAATCGCTGGAATTTCAAGGCGTTATGCTGCTAATTAGTAGAAGACTGCTGAAATTATATATACAGTCCCCTCCCAAAAGTATCCGCCCAATAAAAAAAATATTTTTTTATTTATTATTTATTTAATATTTAATACTTTGTAGGCCATCCTTGGCTTTCGATACATGCATTAATTCGTTTAGGCATACTTTCAATTAAATTAATATAAACTTCAGATGGAATTCTCCTCCACTCTTCTTGTAAAGCCATTTCAAGTTCTCTAAGATTTTTTGGCCGTGTATGGCGTTTTCGTATTTTTTGTTCAAGTTCATTCCATAAATGTTCTATCGGATTGAGATCTGGAGATTGAGAAGGCCAATTCGATAGAACTTTAATATTTTTTTCAGCAATCCAATTCTCTACATCTTTAGCACGATGCATGGGTGCATTATCGTCTTGAAATGCATACGGCCTTCTGTGAAATTGAGAATGAACCAATGGCAGCAAATGGTCATTTAAAATTTGAATATAATCAAAACGGTTCATTTTTCCATCCACCTTAACCAATGGTCCTAGCCCTCTTCCTGAAAAACAGCCCCATACCATTATTCCACCACCCCCATGTTTAATTGAAGGAAACAAATTTTCAATATTGAAACGTGCACCAGCTTCTCTCCAAACTCGGCAAGGTCCGTTACTTTGATAAAGAGTAAATCTTGATTCATCACTCCATATGACCGTTTTCCATTTTTGAACTGACCAATCTTGATGATTAATACACCATTGTAATCGTTTCACACGTTGTGATTCGTTTAAAAAAGGTTTGGATGCTGCAATGCGTGAATGAAGTCCCAATTGATGAAGGTTTTTTCTAATAGTTTTTTCAGAAACAATTTTATTTTGAGAATCTTGAAATTTTTGTTGAGTCTCGGCAAGAGTAAGACGATTATTCTCCTTTAAAATATTTCGTAATTGTTGCTGATCATTATCATTAAGTGCACGTGGGCGACCACTCCGCTTTTCACTAGTCCCATTTTGAGAAATTGCATAATGGTTTATCATATCGCGAACTGTAGATTTCGGAATTTTAAGAACATTACTAATTGTCAAACGATTTTTTCCAGCTTTACACATTCCAATAACTTGACCACGCTCAAAAGGTGTGAGTTCTCTTTCTCTTGGCATGAGTAAACTGTGTGAAAAAAAGCATGTGAAAATCGTTAAAAAGGGTAAATATTTATGTTTTATAGTTTCATCGCATGTTTATATAATAAATGATCTGCAATCACATGCAACGTAGCTATAATCAAATACTTTCGTTTAAAAAAAAATTGGATAAATTTATTATGCACAATTTTGGAAAAATTACAAAAATCGAGGGCGAATACTTTTGAGAGGGGACTGTATATGGATATGTATGGGTATGATATGGATAGGATATAGATATACTGTTAACCCTCTATATATAAAAATAGGATTTAATATTATTTTTTCGCATATGCCCTCAATTTTTATATAATAACTTGCCGATCTTTGCCAAATTTTCTAATTCTCGATTTGTGTACCTATTGTAACACTTTTAAAAACCATATAGCATGCCGTATTTTTGCCTGCTTTTCAATTTTATTTAGTATACCAAAAGGGTTTAG